AGAAAGGATACAAGATTTACATAAAGTATTTAAAACTAGAAAGGACAGATCCTTTTGCTAGTGAGCTGCTTTCTGAAGAATATGTATGTAAGCATCATGGTCATTCAAGGGGCTCCAAGAATCCATCCATAGCTGCTAAAATATATGTAGGTTCCAGCCTAAATTTCAAGGGGCCTTCAATATTGTGAGCTCAACCCTTTTAGAATTCTAACTATCTGATTGCACTTGGAATACTGGAGGCCAAAAAATAAATTGAGGTCTTCCTGGATAAAAATTGAGGTCTTCCTCCTGAATAATTATTTTAAATTCTGCATATCTAGAACAGGAAAATGTTGATCCATATTCTTAGGAATAATCTGTTTTTAAATTGTATGTTCTTTGGGCAGGAACTGTGTCTTCCTCTGTGTTTGGAATGTTCCTACTACATTGGTTCTCAACCTTTTCCGTACCGAATGTAACAACAAAAACAAGTTTTGGACCCTCCTCTCATCTAGACATAAAAAAAAAAAAAAAAAAAAAAGAAGAGAAGGTGATTGCAAGCCCCAGGTTAAGAACCCAGGGCCTAGCACATGTTGGGCACTTCAGCAATCTAAATAAAACACAATAAAAACTCACTGTAAAAACAAAAATGGCAAATGAAACACTGTAGGATACGTAATATGGAACAAGCACACTACAGAATGCCTGGAAAAGCTAAACAATGTAAAAATAAATAAAAGAGCTGTGCTGGCTCCAGAATGCACTACAAAATATGCACGTTAGAAAAATAGAATAGCAAGGAAAATGAATGTTAAAAAATGTTAAAAATACACTAAAAGTCTAACTTAAGACCATCCCAAGCATGAAAATTGAAAGAGCACGTAGCTATGTTATTGAGTCTCCAGGCTATGGAGCGTGTATAGCACAGAATGTGAGATTACAATAAAAATAAGGGTGGGGGTTAATCCCAGTGTTTTGGCCAAATTCCATTTCAGATAAATGGTGACACTATTCTTCAATTGCTGTGTAGTGCTATTGTGTGCTGCTGAACTGCCACCCCATCCTATTAGCAACAGGTGACTTTGTTTCAGTGGTGGATTAAATGATCCCAGTGGATTTGTAAAATGTGTTGTGCTGCTTCGGGCCATAATAGCTACACAACATTATTATTATTTTTTAATTCACGGAGGTTGAAATTTGGGCCCCATTCATGTTAGTGGCAAAACTCCCCCTGAATTCAGTGGGGCCAAGATTTTGCCTTGCAATTGTGAACTCTTTAGGGTAGGAATTCCGATTTTGTTGTTGTTGAGCATGAAATACCTGATGTAAAGCACTGTGCACAGATAGGATAAAACACACATTACAATATATACACTCGGATCACTCGGCTTTTTTTCCAACCCCCGCCCTCCGTCCCGATATTTTCTTCATCTCATCTGGTCACCCTATATATGCATATATCTATGCATGATATAGAGAGATTGAGGGCAGGGTGGGGATAAGAAACCTGTAGGGGTTCTTTAGGGGACTGGAGTGAATAATGTAATGCAGTATTTCTCAAACTGAGATCTGCAAGAGCCCTTCCTGGTGGTCCATACAATGCAATGTTTAATAACCAAAGTGTAGATTTGGGCATTAGAAAGAATTGGGCCCATTAATGGATATTTTGCTTAAAAAGTGAACTGCAGAATGAAAAACATATAGAATAACTGATCTAATGAGTCTATGATCTGGGATCTAATTAATCTATAGTATAGTATAAGGGTTTTTTCCAATTTGCACTATACCAAGATACTGTGGATCTGAAATTAATAAAACTAGAGTCTTGTTTTTCTATTACTAGAACATCTATTATGAATCCAGTGTAGTGGTGTAGACAACTTTTTTAGGTGCGGGGGCAGGCAGGCTAAAAAATAATAAAGTAGTAGCTGTTGAATATTGCTTCAGTGAATAGTTTTGTACTGTGACTAAATTTATTCTTTCTAACAAAGTGAGATAAATGAACTGCTGTTCCCAAGTCAGTGTTTCCTTTATTAATGAAATCCCTAATTTTTTTTGTTGGGGAGAGGGGGCTAAAGCCCTTGCAAGCCCCCATTTGTCTATTTCCACAAAGCAAGTTTCTGATGTAGAATCCAGTAGGCATGGAGCCCAGTATAGTCATTATTTGGGCTGTTGTCAGTGTAGGATCAAGTGGGTTTGTGATTTATAATCTTGCAGGTTGTAAGATTTGAACCCTATTGGGTCTGTGTTCTGGTATCTAATGGATCTGTAATTTGGGATGCAGCATCTAGTGATTCTATGTTTGGGGTCTGAGACTTTGAATCTGATGGCTCTCAGAGGCAGGAGGTTATGATGGTTCTGTATTCTGACAACTAATGGGCCTGAAATACAGTGAGGCATTTTGAATCTGAGTATTGAATCCAATTGGTCTGTGCTTTGTGATTTGATGGTTATGGAAGCAAGTGAGTCTGTGCTGAGGGATTTGATGGCCATGGAATCCAGTGGATCAGGAATTTGTGATCTGAGACCTATGGGATTGTGGCTCTGTGCTGTAATGGCAATTGGATCTAGTGTCTCAATGCTTTGTGGTCCCATGGCTATACGATCTAGGGTCCGTGTGAGTTGTGACCTGATGGCGATGGGATTCATTGGCTAAGTGCTTTGGGCGTTCGGATCCAGTGGCTCTGAGGTTTGGGAGCCCATGATTATGGGAACCAATGGCTTTGTGCTTTGGAAGCTTGGTTCAAGTGGCTCTATGCTTTGGGATCTGATGGTTATGGATTCGAGTAGCTGTGTGATCCCATGGCAATGAGATCCAAAGCTGGGTGCTTTGGGAGCTGGGATCCAGGGGGCAGGGGCTCTGTGGTCCCATGGTGATACGGTCCAGGGGGCAGGGGCTGTGTGGTCCCGTGGCGATGGGATCCAGGGGCTGGGTGCTTTGGGAGCTGGGATCCAGGGGGCAGGGGCTCTGTGGTCCCATCGCGGTGGGGTCCGGGGGCTGGGGG